GGCCTTCACTTTTCAACAAATCGCACTGCTGCTGAAAATAAAAACATTTTCTCAGCGCAAAAAAATACTGGCAGGGCACCGCAGTGTTGCGACACGTTTTCTTCCATTGGTAAATTATGCACACTGTATGCGAGAGTACTCCCTTCCTACCAGAAAAGTAGATGCGGGATCTGCTTTTGCGAAAAGGATCTTTGCCGGAAAGCAGTTACTCCTTTGTCGTGTGTCACGGCGCCCGAACGCCTTTCCGAAAAATGTCCCCTTGTCTAAAGGACTTCAGGGTGCCCGTGTGTCAGGGGCATAGAAAGGTTTTAACTCCCGCCGTACACTTTAAAGCTCCGCTCTTTCCTATACCGCTTCTTCTGGACGCCCTCCCTGAAGTTCGGACCGTCCTTAACTGCCATTTATCTATCCATCTATCGTTTTTGTTTATCACTCTCTGTTTCTTTGTTTAGCTCAATCTACGTGTTCGCGTTTGCCCGCGGCTATTCTCTTCAACATGCTAGGGGGGGCCTCTCCACACGTACCCTTATACAGCAAGCGTAAACCGGGCACGGCTACGGACACTGAACGATGGAAAGGGAGGGGAGGGGTCGCTTTACTGTCGGGTATCGTACGTGTGTGCTCGGCGTTTTCTTCGTCGCTTGTTGCTCACGCGAAGCGCACGTAGTGACACCGTTCCCACGAGAGCATCGGCGAGGGGGTGGAGTGACGACTACGTGTTGTACACGCTGGAGGCGCCGATGAGGACCTTGCGTGGGGCGTACGCTATGGTCTAGACATAGGGGAAGGTACCACTCTCCGCAGCAGTTGATCGCACGTCTAAAAAAAGACGCAATGTAGCCGACTCCAGTAACCGCGTGACGGAGAGCCACTTCTCATGTGGACATGTGTTACTCTTTACAAGCCTTGCGAGTCTCCAAACCAACGATGAAGATATGTCGTGACGAGACTAAGGGACGCACATTGTGATTGACGCGTTCTGATGTGTTTCTCTTTGGTCCTGTACAGCTGCGACGCGGGAAGTGTGGTAGTAGAGTTGTCACACGATGACCGTGGGCTCGCTCAGGACATCGTCGCTGTTCCGTTGACCGCTGATTCGAGTTTGATTGCGTGAGCGTGGTCCGAGGCGACGAGAAAGTCGCGTGTGGAAGGCATTATAACGGCTCGCGTTCCTGTGCCCTGACTCTGTACTCTCACGTAGGCTTTCGTTCGGACTACAGCTTCAAAAAAGAAACTAGGCCTATTGTCAGAAGTCGAACCTAGGAAAAGCCGCAATTGATGTCTGTGTTAAGGGGAAACAATGTACATCCGTACACGCCGTAACCGTCTTGAGTCTCTGTATATCGCGTGCTCTCCGCTGCATGCGAGCGTGTATACGGTATAAAATTTCAGACGTACCGGAAACACTCTTCGGTGAAGGGACCGTAATTTCAACATTTTATGGGCAGAGTAAAGAAAAGCACTTGTCATTCTTCCAGAAAATGATGTAATATCTATGAAAACGAATATAGGTTACCTTTCGATTTATAGAGCGCGTTCCAAGATAGCATAACCAAACTGAATATTTGTCTATCTGTAGATCAAAAGCCAAACAAGGGGACACAAACAAATGTCGTAGCAGAGTCTCTTCGTTGCAATCTTGAGTGGTTCATAATATTGAAAAATGATTCTTGCCACAGTGTCAACACACTTTTCTTGATTTAGAAATAAAATGTAAAAAGTTGGACATCCACAGTATTTATAGTGACTGCTTTTTAAACTACGCACGTTAACGTACACTGCTACTTCGGGCAGAATCTCGAGCACTTTTACGTTGGCGCCCAATGATATAGTCCACATGTGTAACCAGTCCCATGTTTGATCTTAAAAGACCGATATATGCAGTTTAGCCTGTACAGGCTTAATAGTGAGTGTTTAAAGACTACGCATGTTATCTTACCGGGATTCTATGCGGAGAATCTGTCTATAGTATCAAAACGCATTACTGCTGCGTTTTCACCCAAAAATGTCGTACGGTTGAATACCGGTCCCGTGTTTCATTGAAAAAAATCACGCCGTCCCCCGCTAGAGGGCGCCATGTATAGATGCGAAGCAGCGGGTGCTAACGCTTACACTGAAGGCGACTTTGACACTTGCGCTCATTGCGGCGTTGCGCAGGAGAAAAACATGTGGAGCAAAGCACGCAGTGATGGACCGGCGTTTCCTACTAGAAAATGCCAATCGCTGCTAATAGGCAGTGAGAGACAGAGGACTCCGATTGGACACAGAGAGCCGCAATCCGCTTTCAGTTAACGCGCACGCTGAGGATTTCATTGTTTATCAACGAACAGGAGAAATCTCCCACCGGCACTACCTTGGAGGTCAATATCCAGTGCTTATATATACGGGGTGGCCAGTGAATGGTTGTGCAGCGCGAGCAGAGGGTTTTTTTTTATCAAGAAACTCGCTAGCAGACGCTGCCTGCGACGGCGTTGCGAAGCGAGAGAGGGGGAGCATAGGAGAGGAGAGAGAGGGAGGGGACGTGCATTCGCCAATGGTGGTGTAAACGTCGCGGGAAAGAATGCCTAGAGGAGAGAGAGGAGGAGCAGAGCAAGTAAGCGGTACGAGAGAAGTGGAGAGAGTCACGAGCAGCTGTTGGAGGGAGCGGAGGAGGCCAGTTGCGCATGCGTAGTGGGAGTGCGGACGCCGCCGACGCCGCGGCACACAGCTCCTAGCAAGAGATGCGTCGCATCTAAAACATATAAAAGGTTCTACATGCGCAGGCGTTATAGTGACTGTTTATAGGCTACGCAGGTTAACGTTTCGGGATGTCAAGTGGAGAATATGTGTAGTATCGAGACCTACCACTTTTGCTCTATGCGCGGACAGCGATGTGGTCGACGCATATACCGGTCCCATTGAAGCACCCCTAAACTTGCTCTCTTTATTGCCATGTCCCTTTGCATCCAACTGCCGCTCTGTGCTCCCATAATTAGATTCAGCGAGCAACTAGCCGCACCCCGGTGTAATTAACCACACACGCCCTTGTATGCGAGCCGGCGCAGACATGGGAGCGTCGCTTTGAATAACGACTCTCGGCATACGCAGTCTCCCATAAAGGAGTTGGCGAGCTCCTACAAAGATGGCGGAGTGGTCTTGCTTCCTGCCTTGGGACATATAAACTTCTTTCTTGCTCATATCCAGGTCCTGTCGCCTGCGGCTATGATCGTCAACATGCACACTCGTAAGCACACACACACAAAAGCACGCAGGGAGAGAGAGAGAGAAAGAGACAGACAGACTTCTATATCGGACACCACAACTTATTTCTTATTTTCTGACCAAGTTGCCTATGGTCCTGATTCTAAATAAATATACACATAAACGTACATACTATAACTGATGCTCTCTGGTACATATGAAACGCGCATGTATTCTCCATAAGGAAAGACATGGTGTCACCTTTCGGTGTGAGGCGTAGCGTACTAATGTCTCACTGGTTCAGTTGCTCGTGCAATTTGTGAGCCGTGTAGTTCTCACGCAGCGGAAGCGACGGCGTAACGCGATCCTGCTTCCTTCTCCATAATGGCTGTGAGCGTCGAAACGGTGTTACGAGAGAGTAATGTCACCGCCTCAGCCCCCATTAGCACCGCTACGGAGATCAAGAAACATTGTCGCCGTCTGGAGGAAAGGTATCGCCGGTCAGTGGTACGAATAGAGTGCGACTAACCTTGTCGATATTCTCTCGCGGTTTGTGACGGTGAAGCAAGCAAAACGCAGCTCGCAGCCGGAGAACGTGAAACGTTTTGTTTTGGCACCACACACGACACATTCTCGCACCACATGGGGCGAGGATAAGAACGCGCGCCCGCAGCTGTTGATATGAGAGAAGGAGTGAGAGCGGACAGATAACACATGCCAGCGCGCGGTCGCCGCGGACTACGCCGGATGCCTGACATAGCGTGGCTATAAAATGCATTCGCATTCAAAAGTTCAATGCTCCCGCTGCAACGGTTAGCGGCATTGAGCTAAGGCTTCTGGTGTGTGCCTAAAACGGGCTAAGAACGCGTATACTGCTGAGTTCGACATAATGCAATCACAAATTACCGAAAAATTGATAATTTTCTAAGGCCTAGTTTCCTCTGAACCCTTTATGCCGACTGTGCATGCATACTTTCTATGTATGCATTAATAACTCACTTCTGCATTTGCTGCCGTATGATCAATTGACATACCTAAACTTAGCTATCAGTGCTCATTGCGCGTGACTAGAATCTGTGACGTATGTGCTTTGTGCATGGTCTACCGCAGTTGTGACCTGCAAAATGCTCCAAGTCGGTGGAGTGTACTCTTGCGTGATCGTTTTGCAACTTTACACGGCACGCGGTACTTCTTCCTTGAACGCGTTATACTTAATATGAAGCTGACGGAAGTGTCAGTGAACTTCACTTAATTATCTATAAAACAGCTGACTTCGTCAACAAAGCTATGTTGGAACATCCAACTGCTGACATAGCTTACACACGTGACACGCGGGAAAAAGTGAAGTACTTTGAAGTAAACCTCTTTTGTCGCCAAAATGGACCATTTACAGAAAGGCCCTTGCGTCGATGACACACAGCACCAGACACTGCAACTGCCGCTGTGGTCATAGGAACCATACTGCCGCTGCCGAACGCGGTGCTAGTGACGTCAGGCGGGCGTTCGAGAGTACGTCCTTTCCAGGCCTAAAACGTAGGTGCAGGATCTGCTTTACCGAAGAGGATCCTTTGCCGGAAAGGAGTTACTTCTTTGCCGTGTGTCACTGCGCCCGAACACGTTTTCTGGAGGATGTCCCCTTGTCTAAACTACTTTAGGACGCCCGTGTGTACCACGGGTATTACAGCGGCACGTACTCGAAACTGTGTTCTAAGTGACTGAACTGTCGAAAGTTTAGGCAGATTATGGTAGTCCTTGAATGAATGCTACGGCATTAAAAAAAAAGACTCGTAACGTGATGTTCTTCTTTTGTCTGCACGCAGGCCAGCCCAAGGCCTCCGTACCTGACCGCCACGGATTACGTGTTCTACGTGAAGCGACAGACGCAGCGGGAGAACAACCACCACCACAACCACCACAGTCACCAAAATGGCGGAGGTAGAACGCTGACGTCATCCGGCGGCGGCGACCAACCAGCTCTCAGCCCGGAGGACGCCATGGTGGAGCTGACAAACTTCACGGAGCTCATGCGCCGGCTCAAGGAGGACTTGCGCTCTTCCTACAGCAGGTAACAACTCTATACTAATATGCCAGCTTTTTCTAGACTTTCTGCTGCTTATAAGTAAGGGGTATCTAACACGCGGTCTGGCTCACATATCACTGTCTTCATCTCATATGTTTTTTTGTAACTATGTTCAATAGTTACAGAGACAAGGCCCCGCCGCAGTCGTCTAGTGGTTAAGGTACTCGGCTGCTGACCCGCAGGCTGCGGGATCGAATTCCGGCTGCGGCTGCTGCATTTCCGATAGAGGCGGAAACGCTGTAGGCTCATGTTCTCAGATTTAGGCTCACGTCAAAGAACCTCAGGTGGTCGAAATTTCCGAAGCCCTCCACTACGGCGTCTCACATAATTCTATGGTGGTTTTGGGACGTTGAACTCTACATATCAATCATATCAATTACAGAGACATGACAAGTCTGAAGTGTTCTTTTCGGAAAGCAGCCACATGCGGTTTCCATGTCTTGAAAAAAAGATCGGGGAACTCTGCACTTCAATGTCGGCGTCTAGATGTCGTTTTTTTCTGGCGATCAGAACCGGTATGTTTCTGGAATCCGGACGACCAATCTCTTCATAAACGGCTCGCATATGAGATGTGGGAAGGACCTTTTTTCAAACGGCAACTTTAGCTACGACATCTTGTTCTCCCTTCTCCCCCTTGGTTCAATATTCTTCACTTTGCCGGCACTTGCGCGAAACTGGATTCGGCTCGAAAAATTTCTTTTCGGGCTAGCGCTGCAGTCGTGGTTGCTTTCGCTCTCACGCTACGAATTTGGGATCGAGTCTGGAAAGGATATCTCTGGATCTCAACATCTTCGTTAATAGTGCCCCCTTTAATACAAGTATGTGGTCACACTACAGGCACGGCTTTCATATTCACCATGGCATGGTATAGACGACACGTGAAAATTCCAAGTGTTCTGCAGATTACGGTAGTGAGTTGTTGCTCTCACTGGCACGTGGTCGAATCCTAGATAGTAAAGGGATTGTTAGATACAGTTGGTTGATGTCGAAGTTTGGTTATGCTCGCACTGAAAGAATCACAGCGAAGAAGACATCCAGGCAGGGGTAGACGGGACTTTGTCCTGTTTACCCGAGCATATTCTTCGTTGTGACTCCTTCATTCAGCACGTAAATTTCCAAACCTGGGTGGCCCATCTGCTTCCTCGCGACGGCATTTGTTTCCGAAATACGATAGTGGTCACGCAACGAAAAGAATTCGATGTAATGCGCCAGAATCGTTCGCTTTTCCGTCGCGCCGTCGCAGCTGTAGCGATATAATCAGTAACGCCTATGTCCCGCTATAGTTCAGTCAGTACATCTAGACGTATACATAACCCGCACTGTTTCCGCAACTTTCAGCGTGCGACGGTTATATTTTGTTCGTAACGGAGGCGTTCCGATCGCAAACACCGACTTTCCTTCCCACACTGTGAAAGGAAAACGACACCGAAAAAATACAAGAAATGCCACTCAGGAAAAGGAAATAGGCGGGCAAAACTGACCGGGCCCTACGGATGAGATCTGTCATCTCTTGCACCATGGTATCACTCTCTCGCGGATGTATCGTGTGCTTTTTTTTTTCCTGCAACCTGCGGGATTGCTTTCTTTTGGACGAAATATATGTAATATAAAGAAACGCTTAATACTTCTTCGCTTGGCTTCATCGGCACCTGCAGAAGCGAGGCGCGAGTCTGGTGCCACGTGTGCCGTGTTACCCCGTAGAAGACTCGCGCGCCGCACTTTTGCGATAAAAAGAGTTCCAAGAACGATAGCGCTGTCGTTCAGAGAAACCTACACAGACGAGGAGCGTGTCAACCTATGGTGTGTCAGTTGACTATACGTCGGCTGCTTTGTATGTTTGTGCTTGTGCTGTCTAACAAATTTTTATAGTCAAATAGTAAAAGCAAGACGCCGACCACAAAAACTGTGTAAAGATAACACGTTCGGGCTCATGAACAGGGGCCCTGTTCACAAAATGTGAACGAATCTCCTGTGCGAGGTTCGCAAAATGTGAAAATATGAATAAGTTTTTTTTAGTGGGGTGCCAACGCCTTTGTCATGCCTGCCCTTGTGTGCTTTTAGGGCTGCTGTTCTTTCATAATGCACTAGCCAAGGTGGAAAATGAAGAGTCAAAAGAAAACGTTGGTGTTTTGAACCTTGTACGGATCCCTTCATCACGATGAGGTTAGCATGGACGGGTGCCTATTCATTTCACAGGTGGCGTAATGACACTGAGCAACTGCGCATCTCTGGCAGATTGTCCGTTATCATGCCTATCGTGCAGTTAGTCGATAGAATGTGCCCCGCCGCGGTGGTCTAGTGGATAAGGTACTCGGCTGCTGACCCGCAGGTCGCGGGTTCGATTCCCGGCTGCGGCGGCTGCATTTCCGATGGAGGCGGAAATGTTGTAGGCCCGTGTACTCAGATTTGGGTGCACGTTAAAGAACCCCAGGTGGTCAAAATTTCCGGAGCCCTCCACTACGGCGTCTCTCATAATCATATAGTGGTTTTGGGACGTTAAACCCCTCAAATCAATCAATCAATCAGTCGATAGAATGTACCCTTATTCTGAAACCAAACTGCGCATGTAGATGTTTTTTTTTTTCGTTGTGATGTCGTGCCCCCATCCAAAGGTCTCTCCAATTCGATTGCGATGTTCGATCAAAGAGTTCGCCGTCGTGTGGTCCATGGCGACATCATTTTGATGCTGTTTCGAGCACACTTCGAGGAAAAAAAAAAGAGTAGCGTTACCGTTGCCAGCGCATGAAGACGGTAGTACGAACAACAGTGCGCCCCTATCCCCTCCCCCCTCCACCCGCTCCCCTTCTCTAATCGCCGGCCTCTTCGGCGTTTCGTTTCCTGAATGCCGCGGCTATATCCGACAGTGACTTCACCGTATACGAGACTACGGCTCAGATGCATGCTATACCCGGATCGCAGAGCCGCGCGGAATGCGGCCTGGCGGTCAGGGCTTAATTCTTTCCTCGCTGCCCGCGTTATAGTGAGCCTGCCCGAGGTGATGGCTGGGCGCATGCCATGCATCCTGCTTTCTCTCTTCCGGCTCGTTCTTTCGACGCCCGCTCGGGGCGCTGTTTCCGCTTTCTCGACCGTGGCGTGGGAAACACCAAGACGTTTTCTCGAGCTCCTATATAGATCTCGGAGCGAGCGCTGATATTCGGTTCGTAAGAGTATGAAAAGGAGAGCCATTTGGGTCGTCTCATGTGCACAATCCGTGGCCAGAAATGGAGACGTACTTACTGTCGTGAGCAGGGAAGCAAGAGAAAGACATTGGGGACGACATCTTTAGATACATGAACTGACCGTCGGCAAAACTCGCCGTAATAAGGGGAAGTTCGATGGCGGCCACTGCCATACTTTTTTTCGTGTTCGCGATTGATGTTTGCATGAAATTATGTGATACAACGAACCACAAGTGTGGGCCGCTGGGGTGTATAGTACTGATGGCAGTGGAAGATTGAAGATGGATTAGCGACCAAGGACTGCAGAAGACTGTGTTGAGTCCTGCTGGCGCACATACGCGCGTACATGTTCAATTTTTCTTGTCGGCGCTGTAGAGAAAGTTAGAATAGAAAATGATTTTGTACTCGATTCGCTCTTTCTTTCCTGCGTATCACATTGGCGCGTTCTTTTTTCCTCACCTTTATCGTTAGAGAAATTGAGAGCATGCAGTCTAGAAGTGAGGCGCACTTCTTATTTCGGGTCATCGGTTAATAATAGAGTGGTCTCCGCGTTGCCTTATCCTGCAGCCTAATTCGCTCAATTTATGAGTGTTCTGTGTTGTTTCGCGTTAATTAAAGCTACCCGCAAGGGCATGTACTACATGTGGGCATTTATGAAACATTTCTTCGTCACCTGTACGTAACCATCACAGAAATGGCGTTTCTTCATCTTCACCGTTTGTGGGGACACACCTTGAGTTTGTTCTGTGCCATCGCTGTGACTGGCCTTGCCACGTCGTCCGGGCCCATAGTAAAGGTGTGTAGAGTATACTACACGTTACAAGTGTTGGAGGTGTGGGGTACGCACATTTGCGCATGTAACAACGTGTACTTGCTTACAGGCGACCACGTGAGTGATGTTTCTTTTTTATTTCGTGTTTGTGTTGTGTCTAGTAGGATCGATTCACGTTAGAATGGCAGGTCAGGTTTAGCGACGGAGCTCTTTCAGCCGAGTATTGGTCCGTAATGGGTGTACAGAAATGATTGTCTTCGTGAACCAGCACGCACTCTTCTCGTTCTCTTCTTTCTCTTCTCCGTTTTCTACGTCGCTCCTCAAATACGGGCGCTGATTTGTGCGACGTGGCCTGCAGAAATTCTGTAGACCGAGGAGCAAAAGAAAAGAGAGGATAGAAAAGAAATGGATGGAAAGGGAAACAAATAATCTTCGGAATAAGTTCTAGGCGAGACGGGATTCTAACCCGATTACCCGCTTAAGCTTCTTTATATTTTTTATTAATACCAGTAAGGAACGTATTATTCTTTAATATGTTCCGAGGAGGGCCGGACCCAAAGTTCATGACGCCACTTGGATGCGGTGGCACATTCACCCTTCGATCTTCCTTAATTATGTCGAACTTAACTGTAAAAACCCGCCTTTCGCAAAATACGTACAGGTCCGTGATTGGTCTAAAAATGCTCAGTTCACTCGTATATCGACCACAATAGGATTGCTTATCCATACGCTCTATCCTGACTGTTTATTTTTTTAATTATGGAGTAACAAGGACAACAAAATGGTTGATTTGTTTGCAGGCACAGCTGACAACGTTGAATGGATCTCCTATTGGAATTGCCTGTATGTGAAAACCCGTACGCCTAGCACAGCGTTTGTCGATTCAGAAGGATCCGCTTTAGAGCGAAATCCAGATCCGCAATACTCACCCGAGTACCACAAGCCTGTCGAAGCGCACATGGGTACTAGCGCGCGCACGCGACTACACGGGTGCACACACTTGCGCACAAAATCGCGGGAAGTTTCGTTGAATGGACTTCTAAATCATATTGCGTAGACAGGCTACCATTCTCGCTTTTCCTTCATACCCCTATCCCATTCGTCTGGCATTCGCGTCTTCCGAAGTCGTGCAACAAGTAACTTCCCACGGTTTGTCAATCCTGGCAAGCCCACTGCGGGGAGCGTCCTCCTCGATCGCAGTTAGGCCTAATGGCGAAACTCATTGTGGCAGCGCCACCTAGCGTCAACTTCCTCTTTTACTTTCTCACGCGCGCATCATTTCGTTGAGCATGCGCGGCACTTTATGTGCGAATATGTCGTGTGCGACTGCCTTTTCGGGTGTCGATGTATTTCTCCGACTCCCTTGCTTTTTTCCTGACCTCTGCGCTAATTGGAGAAGAAGCGCTGTTTCCGTTTTGTAAGGACACGACCGGTTTCCTCCTATAGGTTCCCATAGAGAAGAAAAAAGTGCGAGCATTCGTTTCTCCAGTACTTCGAACGTGAATGTTACGAAATTCTTCGCCCCGGCGTCGTTCGGTGACGCACAAGAAACATAGAAAGAAATACAAGAAGCACTGGCGAAACACTGAGAATGTCGTGTACGAATTCTCGGGAAACCCTTCTTCTTTTAGGAGGTCCTTCACTACGTCAGCCGACTGCTTTGAGGTCCATCGACTCGCGTGTGAAATCTGAGCACGCGAAGACATATTTATGTATAGTTCTCATGTAAGGAGGTTCTCAGAGAACTTTTTTTCAAGCGCGTTAACGGGTACATCGCAAGATGAAGCTTACGCCACTTCTTCATCGCCCACTTCCGCATGCTCGTGCACTGTTTTCGTGAAGAGCCATCAGAGCCTTGGCTTCTGAAGAACTCCGGAAGTGTCACACGTGAAATTTGTAGCACTTGTATGAAGGAAGAGAGAGGGGGGAAGGGGTCCCACAGAGCATCTTTCCCTCTTGTTATGCGCTTTGTGAAGTAGATGCAAATGTTACTATCGTTTCTGAATACAAAGGACGCTTCTGCTAATGTTTTCTGTGACCTCTAAGTTCACATAAAAAAAGGAAGCGGGCAGTGGCGTTTCAACTTTTTCTTGAGGGGGGAGGGGGGCTAACCTACCGCACTTGTCAGCCGATATATGTGTGTGTGTGTGTGTGTGTGTGTGTGTGTGTGTGTGTGTGTGTGTGTGTGTGTGTGTGTGTGTGTGTGTGTGTGTGTGTGTGTGTGTGATTTTTCATACACACAGCACTTGTTCAATAGCATAAAAAAGGACAGTCAGTTTTAATCAGCATGCACCGGGACAACACGTATATGTTTGTCATGTACGATGCATAAAATAATAATACACGCGACGCTTTTCATGCATTACCTCAATACTTTCCGCATGAATGCAATTATAGTGATGGTGGCCTCCTCAACAGTAAATATGTTGTCATTGAACGAAATTTCAGTGACTAAAAACAGCTCACAAAACATTCAGTTTTTAAATTTGAAGCACTCATTGAAGAACCAAGGGTATTTTGAGCACTTCTATCTACTTATTTTAGCTTCCTACTGAGCTATAGTCCACTGCTTTATTCGTCGCCGCTTTGCAAGCTGCCCCCATCGCTCCTAGTTGCCATGAGCAAGGTTGATCAGATTTATCGGAGATTAAAGCGGATACCTTTCTTGGCGCTTCCTGTACGGCAAAACTCAAATATTTAGAAAAATTAGTCGCAAACATGTGCTCACAGCAGCTTCGACAGAGCAGCGGTAATGGTAATCCTTTTTGATGAAATAAAATTATTTTCCTGAAGCGGAAAATGCTTTGACCGGTCCACAAAGAGTTTGTTCGTTCCCATCTATAACTGCACCGGCCAGTTGCAGTAGAATAAAAACATGAACAACTGATGTAATGTTACAGGGCCCCTGTTCAGCGCTAGCCTGCTCTGCCGTGCTGCAGCACAGAGTGGAAAGCGTCGCAAAAAGCCTTCAATGAAAATTGTAACTGCTGAAAGGTTGAAAAATTATCACTACATCGTACCTTTGCTTCATAACATTTTCTTTTTCTCGTAACATTTATTAGAGTGTTTACAGTGGTGACGGAAAATTTTGCCTTGGTTGTTGTTTTCCCCAGCGTGCAGCCGACAGTGACCACTGTCAGAAGTGGGGGGGGGGGGGGTGAAAGGGGGGCTTGCGCCCTTCTTGCCTCCCCCCCATCCCCCGGCTGATACGCCCATGGAAGCGGGCTTATTTCAGGTGCTAGGCATCCTTGTCGTGGCCTTCGTTTCACGAGCGTTCAGCTGTGCTGATGTAGTTAGCGCAAATCCCGTTGCTGAAAATTTTGGGCCGTAATCGCGTGACCAGTCCATTGAAGTTCGTCTACTCGTACATGAAACTTTTACTGACTGATTTCTTCATCAAGTGATTCGCCGCCCACTTTGTTCAGTGTAAAATATATCAGTTTCTTGCACTTTAAACGCCGTAAACGCTGGCGTGTTACTAATATTAGCTTTGTGCACTCAAACATGCCTTGCACGGTGTGTGTTCGAAAGAAGTGCGAGAAATACAAAGACAAAAAGAGCGCCTCAACCCTAATAAAGTTATTACTTTCCCGCAGTAGAGTTCTGTTGTGGGAGGTACATATCAACACGTTTACCCAACGCTTTGAGGCTGCGGAGATGAAGATGTAGATGACGCCACCTGTTCTCTCACAGGCAAACGATGGTTGTTCGGTATTGTGCAGAGCCACACACTCCTTGGAACCACGCAATCCACATTGATGGTACGGTGGTTACGGTTCGCAGCTAATGGACCCGGAGGTCTCAGGTTTGGTTCCGTCATCGGTAGTCGCATTTTGACTGAGGCGAAACGCAAGATACCTTATAGTACATAGCCATACCAGTGAGCGTCAAAGAGCCGCTCACTGTGTTAGGGTATCTTTCAAAACATTTCGTTTCTGTTTGTGTGTGTGTGTGTGTGTTGTCATCGTCATTTTAATAACTTCCTTCTTGTTTTTCAGCTTCGTGGAGGAGTTTGTGAGCGAGCCCAACGACGGCGTCACCCTGCTGCTCGACCTGCTCAAGACGTACCGGCGGAGCACGGGCGTCGACCACGGTCGCTACGCGTCCACCAGGGCGCGACAGCAGCAGGCAAAGAAGGCGCAGGTACGTCCACCGACTAGAATATACCTACAGTCAAGTACCTGAATCAAGTGTTTCGACCAATCAAAATACTTCTCTATCAATGCTACTCCGCTGGAGAACTCGTATAACCAGTAGTTCGAGGAATCTTCGTTGAAGGCAGCAGTACTTTGTAGAGCAGTTAAGCTGTGCTGCTCAGCCAATTCTACAAGGCAGGGAAATCAAGTGCTTCGTCCAATCAAAATAGTTCCCTACCAATGCTACTCCGCTGGAGAACTCGTATAACCAGTAGTTCGAGGAATCTTCTTTGAAGGCAGCAGTACTTTGTAGAGCAGTTCAGCAGTGCTGCTCAGCTAATTCTACAAGGCAGGGAGCTGGTTCGTGTTGATAATGTTCTGAAAGAAAATGAACGTTTATTATCAATATTGTTGCCCCTCATACAGAGGCGCCGGTAAGTAGAGCGTACCGAACCCCGCCCCCCCCCCCCTTCAATCCCTTCAAAAAGCCCTTGGTTAACAACCCAAGTTGACAAACTTAACGGTATACTGACACGACTTGGAGGCATCGCAAAGGGACATTTGTTGTTTCTTTGGCCTTCAGTATACTTGTCAGAGCCCTACACACAGCGGAGCCAGGTAAGACGTATGACATGTTTTAGTTTTCCGTAAGAGTTCTCGTCCCCCAGCACCTACAGTACAACTCCCAAATTATCATGACGAATCAACACAGTTGGCTGGATTTGAAGACTCGGCATCTACGGTTGCGGCTGAAACAGCTATCGGACGGCCTCTGGAGGTGAATTCACCATTCGTTTGCTTACGTGCAACACGTGCAACTACCGGCGAACTGCAGGGCGTTGCAAAGATGTCAAGAGTTGCTGTTTCCACCGGACACAAACGTGCGTCACACCGAGTGTTCACGTAACTGCGGTTCCACCCCATCCATAGCGAAGCCGAAAGTATTTTTTTTCTTTTATTATGGGCGCGGTATTGGAAATGCATTAAGTGCGTCCCGACCAACCACGATACACTCTTTAGCGTTTTCACACCAGTACTTTTACTACGAGCAACAATACGAAAACTCGCAAAATTTATGTCAATAAGCTTTCAAGGTAACCCGCGTGGGAAAAAAATTAACCCATTGATACAGAAATAAAGGGTTGAGTATGAGGAAGAAACTGTTGAGTACTTTGCTAAGTGAACAAAAAAAAAATGGATGTTCAAGAGCGCACCTGCACACAGGGGATATTGGGCTTTGTGTGGCGCACGTGTTGGAGACGTCAACGTATAGGTCACAACTCTCCGCAAAAAAAAAAAAAGGTGTAAGTTATCATCATCAGCACCGTCATTAGCCTACTCCACGCCCCTTGCATGACGGAGGCCTCTCCCGAAGATCTCTGGTTTACCGTGAACACACTTAGAACTTATTCGAGTGTTGCTTGTAATTTCCCGTGATTTTCTAGTCTCTGAGAAAGCCTACAGCTAAATGTACACTGTTGGCAAACGACCTCACATGTCACCTGCTGATCTGAACAAATCTGCAAGTTGAACAAGACGATTTATAAACGTACTACAGTCCTGACTTAATGAAATCGAGAAAAATTCCGCGTCATATACATGACCATTTTGAGGATAATCTCATCCACGTCTCGTGTATGACATTCGTGTAACGTTCCTTAACTACGCAAGCTTCAGAATATTATAGAAACAAAAAAAAACAAAGCAGAGATAATAGGATGCTAAAGTAGCAGGGTTATACATAGACTAGGCAGGTTGTTGGTGGTGAGAGAAAGATAATTTATTTTTGTGCGTCGCACGGAGACAACCGCACTCTTACGTATGCTATAATTATAAGATCGCGTCACAGCACTTGTAGCTCAAGAGGCTAAAGGTGGACACGGGTCACCTCTCACGGTATTGTGTGGCACAACGAGCTCAGGCATTATCTCACCACTGCACTGCACCGTCTGAAAGAAAGAAAGAGAAAAATAAAGCAAGCAAGAAAGAAAGAATAAAAAGAAAGAAAGAAAGAAAGAAAGAAAAGAAAAAAGAAAGAAAAAAAGAAAGAAAGAAAGAAAGAAAGAAAGAAAGAAAGAAAGAAAGAAAGAAAGAAAGAAAGAAAGAAAGAAAGAAAGAAAGAAAGAAAGAAAGAAAGAAAGAAGGAAACTCGCGTCACGCAGCTTTCATAACTAGCATGCGAAAGGACGTCTACAAGACGCCTTTTTTAGACGGTGCGGAGACGTTTTAAACTCTCGGTCTTTTGCTATATGTTTCTGCAGCTTTCGCCGCGGTTTAGTTTCGTCCCACGGCAATTTTTCGGTGCGTCACATGTTACCCCATTTTTTTTTTCAGGCGTGTTTGTGGAGTTCTTAACGGAGATGCTGTTTTTGCTCGTTATTCCTTTTGTCGAGAAAGCGCAATGCTGTAAATTTTCAAGTGTTTCGCTAAAAGGCTAGGTTTTACTATCGCTATCATTCTACGGTATTAATTGCTAATTATATTTCAAAAGAAATTAGGATGTGAGGTGATAGTTTCCAGAAAAGGAACCGCAACTTCTGGAACTGTGCTCTGGCACCTCGCGCACGTGGAAATAGTCCCGTCTAACTGCTCGAGTTTCGCCGAAAAACTTCGATGCGTGTGAAAGCTGACTCATATCGCGAACATCGTTGAGTGCACTGTTGAACTGCTAATATTTACAGCAGCTTCGACTTCCCACCGAAATTTTCAGCAGCTTCTACTGACAGTTTCAAGTAACGCCACTGCAAGTATTGCAGATGTTTTAAAGGAATTACGTAAGGCTTGAAGCTATTATCGGTGGCACTTGTGGGAGCTTGCAGGAGCTATTACCAGAAAGGCCTATTACCCCGCTCCTTTTGTGCCACTATATGGTCCTGTAATCGACATTATATCCTCATAGACGTAAGGCAAGTTCGTTTTTAAACTCCGTTGAGATGCACGGACGCGAACGGTTCAAAGTCACCGCGCTGGCGGGAATGGTTCGCGGTAAATTGCGCTCCCCAGTCGTATAATTGAGCAAACTTAGGTTGTACGCTATCACCAGTGCAGCTGCGCACACGGAACGTAACCTTAATTCCCTCGCACTACTGTAGAGCACACGGTCTGCGAATACAACGTGCGAATAGTAGAGAAGACCACCCAAGGTGAAGGGGGCAATTGTCGTTGATGGCATTCCGCGGCCTGACGCTCCTGTCGTCTGCTATTGAAGGTGACCGTCGACTGCTTCTGTCGTCCGCTATTCAAGTTGAGCGCGGCAGCGCACTTCTGCATCCCATTGCACCCAGAGGACAGTAGTGAGGACCCCCTCCGCTAGCAGACGACAACAGCGGCCGCGTCGTTGACAGACGGCCGCGAAAAAAGAAAGCTCGACCAAACAGACGCGGTAACGCGAATCTCCTCTTCGAATTGTCCACGCTTGTACAACGCTTCTCACGACTCCAGCGCCGTGCCGCGGGCGTCACGTCACAACAGCGCAGCGCCCGCGTTGCGACTTCGTCCGGGGCTCATTGTTCGCCGAGAAAGCGTGATAGTCTCAGGCGTTTCGCGACTCCTATTTCGCGCCGGTTTGAGAGCAGACGACAAGCCGACCTGCCGTTGCAGACGACGCGTGTGTCCAGCGCTCACACACTGCGCATCTGCTCAGTCGTCTGGAAGCCTTCTCTCTGATGCAGCCTTTTTTTCTTTCTTTTCGCCTGGCAACTGGGCCGGCTGCGCCGCCATGTTAGGGGTACGCTATGCGCGTTCGCGGTTCATTGTGCGCGCGCTCGCTTCCACGGCGTCCATTTTTGACGACTTCGCGGTGTGAATGGGGCTGCTCGCTAATGCGAGCCGTATAATGCAACAAGAGCGAACGACTGTGGTATGGCGGGCGGCGATTTTTTTTTTTTTCAAAAGGAAACGCGAGCATTTGGCGTGATACGAAAGCCTGTGTGTCGTTTTTTTGAGGAAACGAGGCCTTGTTGTTCAGTTCATTTCACGGTCTCGTTGTGATAAATAAAACGAGTACCCCGCTATTTTGGAGATGCGTGAATCGTGACTTCAGTTGCACAGTTCTCACAACTATTCACGCTCTGACTGGATTAGATTCGTTTGAGAAAAAATAGTACAAAAAAAACAAACTCGAGAAAAAAAAGACCTTTTAGTTTTCCGAAACGGAAAGCATGCACTTGCGTACCGTGACGTGTCGCTTAAATAGAACACGTGGAAGGTGGCCCATCTTACTCGAACGAATTTGGAAACTGGGGTATGAATAGCTGCATGAGCTAGAGCAAGACTGGGACTTGAGGTTAGTCGCTCAGTGCTCTGTAGCGAGTACAAATCACGAAGTGAACAGAAGATGGCGTAAGGCAGGTCTGAGGTGAAGCGTTGTACGTGGTCTCATAATATATGTATATTGCTTTCAACATTCCTTAACGAACCCTTCTAGTTTTGCAGATAAATCTTTGCTGCGTTGTATACAACAGAGGCTAGCTTTGGTATACCCTCGTATAGACCATGGAAAAAAATGAAATATAACGTATTGAAGAGGGCACATATTGTTAAAGCTTATAATGGAAGCTGATTGAAAGATAAAAGCCAAGGTGACTACCGACGCTCAGGAGAGAAAACGCGAAGAGCTGAGACAGTAGAACCGTGGTAGTTTTAAATGGAACACAATGAGAAATCATTTTCAAAAAATGGACGCTGGGTCACCTTCAACTTGTGGAACCATTATAGACTAAGTAAGAGACTAAGGAATGAAAGATAGATGACCTGTAGAAGATTTGATTGAAGCTTTAATACACATTCAGTCTCACCAAAAGAAATCGCACCGATAGGGTGTCCTTATCATGGAACTGGTGGATTGTCAAGGGGAAGTCCTGAGTCAGTGATGAAGAAAATGACGGTTGTACCAAGATGAAACAAGAACTAAGATGGGAATTACTTTCATCCCGTCAAAAAAATTCAGGTCGAAGCTCTTATATCAAATATTTCATGGTGAAACTGGCATTCCAAAGGAAATGTACT